TGGCTTGGCGAGCTCCTCCACCAGCTCCCTCAGCACCCTCGGGTGGATCCCATCCGGCCCCATAGACTTGTGAGCATCCAGGTGGCGTAGCAGGTCGTTAACTGCTTCCTCTTGGATTATGGGGGGGTTCATCCTGCTCGCCATCCCTGTCTTCCAGCTCAGGGGGCCAAGTACCCTGAGGATAACTGGTCTGCCTGTTAAAGACTGAGGCAAAGAAGGCATTAAGTACCTCAGCCTTTTCCTCATCCTCGGTGACGTTCCCCCCCACATCCAATAAAGGATGGAGATTCTCCTTGGCTCTCTTCTTGTCATTAATATATTTGTAAAAACATTTTTTGTTGTCTTTAACGACAGCGGCCAGATTGCGTTCTAGCTGGGCTTTGGCCTTTCTCATCTCCTCTCTGCACGACCTAATGAGATCCCTGTACTCCTCTTGAGTCGCCTGCCCCTTCTTCCACAAGCGGTAAACTCTCCTTTTTTTCCTGAGTCCCAGCAAAAGCTGTAGGACTTTTACCAGCTGTGTCAGGAAGTTGTCTTCCACACACTCCAGGAACCTCCTGGATAGTTAGGTTTATCATGATTTTAATAATATTTATACTAAAATATGCCGTAATCCTTTTTTTTTTTTTGGCAATCCCAGTCTTCTTTTTTCTTCCTACATATGAGTGGGGAATAAAAAGGTTTGAGAAGACCACTGGCACTAATGCACACATTTCTGAATAGAAAGCTTACAGTAAGTTTACCCAGTTTTGTGAGGTGTTTTACATGTCAGTTTTGACATGCAATTTCAGTCCCTGTCCACAATTACCATTCTTTTTGTTTATGTGCACAGAACTAACACATCTGGAAGATTTTTTATAAGTTTCATTGTGCAACTCTTAGTGCAATTCTTTGCCAGGACTCCTTTCCAGAATTGGATTTGAATGCCACAAAAGTAGTCTTCTACACCTGACAGAAAGGATGCCATTCTGAAGAAAAATACGATCAGTACATACAAAAAGTCTGCTTTCAAAAAGTAGGTCTGACATATTCGGGATGCTTCCTTGCCTTTTATCTCACTATAGCCTAAAGATGAATCTTCCCTTAATGTACCAGTTCCACACTAAATACTTCAGATAAATGAAACATAAACATACTTTAAAACCATGTATGAAGGGTCACAACATGCACAGGTTTTACCCCTGTGGAATGGTCTGACTGCATAATGTGTGCCTCCCAGCAATGCAAAGCAATCCAATACAGTAACCCAAAGGGAGTTGTCCAGACTAGGGCACATGCAAAAGCGACACATTCCAAATTTAAAGTACTGCTGTAAAATCCTCTGGTATTAACAGTTAGCTCAAGAATCCAAAACTAAGGACGCAGCCTGGTGCTCTTAATCTGTAGCAGCCATAGGGGTCGTTGAAGTCGTTTCACAGGAAGTTGAGCCCTAAATTGTTTTGGAATATCTGGAACAAAGATCAAATACCCTTTCACTCTCTCCAGAGATGAAGCATGATTCACTGGAGAAAACAATGACCCTTAACACTTAAAGCACCACCTAACAAGAAGTAGCTTCATTCTATGCTAATGTAATAATTAAGGGACGTGCAAGTTTGGTGAGAGCTGCTGAAAAAGCAAGATCCCATAGGTAGAACTTTGGCACCTCTGGGAACACCCATAGGGAAATGCACGGTACCAATACACTTGGAGCATACAGTACTCAATGACCATATTTTATGCAGGTTCATCAGTGTGTTCTCTTTCAACCACATCTGCATTTCTCCTTTATATTTAAAACATATCACCACAAACAAATTAATATTGCCAGGGTTGATTATAATAAAGAATCATAACAAAAAAAAAGGTGTATTTTAGCATTTTTTATTATAGCCTTGGCTAATGACAGTACATAAAACAGAATATAACAGATTTTTGTACCAAGAGCAAGTCATTTTTGCTACTAACTATAAAGCTCTGCAAATTCAAAAGTATTTTGACTCCTAAAATAGAAACCGTGCTGTAACAGAAAAAGAATTGTGGCCAGTTCAGCAAGCCACCAAACAACATCTACCTTTTGTCTCCAAGTCTTTCTTCTACCAGTAGTTGAGTTTGTCTGAAACAGAATCTGAGAAAGGTAGTCTCACTTTTCATGTCTTACCATGAAACCACTAATTGCAAGGCCATCACAAGAAAAGTGAAGGGGAAAAGACTTGGGAAGAAGCAGCAATTAGCTGTCTTAAGTATTTCAGTTGAAATGGCAAGTGCCATAAACTTGCTTTTTCCTATTAAAAAAAACCCCAAACAAAACAAACCACGTATGAAAATATTTCTCCTGCTAGAATCTGTAGATCAAAAATTATTTGCCTAAGAATCAAACAGAATACTTTATCCTGATCAAATATTTTAATAGATACATGATATTTCAAAGAATAAGACATTGCCTAAAATAATTCCACAGGTAGTGACCAAACAGCACTAAATGCATGGACAATCTGCTTTTGTTCCCATGCTAGAAAATACAGGAAAAAACTATCAAACCAACATACACAGAGAGAGTTACATGTACAACCAGTCCCCCTTTGCATACATTTTAGATTTCACAGTTTTTCTTCAAGTACGGGTTCATAGTACTATTGCAGCTTACCATACCCTACCAAGCTTATAGGTGGAAACACTAATGTCCCAGAATTGCTCTCCTTGGCAAAGCAGAGAGTGTCTGAAGCATGCTGTGTTCAAAACATTTAACAGAGACGTACCAGACAAATAGCTTAAAAGTGGACAAATGCTGCATTATCAGAAAAAAAAACCCCACCAGATTTGTGGCAACTAAAGCACAGCATGGGACTTCACAAAGTATTCAGTGACTTAAGTTTATAGTAAGTTCTTCTGGTAAATTTATGACAACTGATTCACAAAAATATATGAAAAGATTTAGAAATAAATAAGGTGTTGTGGAGTGTTTTCTGACAATACTGCCACATTACTTTGTTTCCACACGTTCTTTCAAAAAAGCAAGACAAAAACTTAGAAGTGCATGTTTCTCCATCTAAGTTTTATACGTAAATATTTGACAAAATGGGACTTCACACTTCTGTGCATCTCAACATACAAAAAGGTTCTCATTTTCACTTTTGTCAAGGTTAGGGAAGGTCAAATTAGTTGTGCAAAACTTTGACAGTAGTTGCTTTTGAGAAGAAAACTGGAGCTCCCTAGCAAAGGCTATGATGCAGGATTTCACATTTTTAGAAAGATTCAAATATAAAACAATTCATCAACAGTAGTTTCAGGCAGGTAAAAATTTCAGTTGCTTAGCAGGTTTATATTTAATCTAGCCACTAAAGTACCACTGGAATTATACATTAGCTGTAGAAATCCTATTAATTTTTTCAGAGAAACATTAAAAAAAAATTATAAAAGTCACAGCTGCACCTGAGCTCAAAGAAGAGAAAAAAAGTTGCAATTCTACCTATTTTATTGGCTGTTCAGGTAACAATGTTTTGTAACAGATCAGATTAGGAATTCTGATTGCTGGCTTTATCAGAAGTAGTAGAAAAACCAACCACGGTATATTCCTGCTTACCCTATCAGCTACCACCTATGTAGCTGTATACTATAGCTGTTATTATGTAATAATTAGTAATAAGACCTTGAACTAAAAAAGAAAAAAAAAAAGGGTAACTTATCAGAGTCACTTCAAAAGTAATACTGCTAACTCCATCTTGGAGCAAGACCTTAAAATGCAGATTGCATTGATCCTGTCAGGCACAGATCACTAAAAAAAAAAAAAAAAGTGTGCTAGTATATATTTTATACTACAATTAACAGTATGCAATGCCCTAAAAATCTTATGAAAATACTCATTAGGAATTATAGAATTTCTTATGCATTTGGATATAGGAAACACCCATGCATAGAAAACTACTCTTTGGGGTTTATCGCATTTAACAGTACCAGCATTATTCAAGTTTATTTGGCTACAGTAATGCCAGAAAATAGCAGGACTGATTTGTGCTAACCTATAAGAAACTCTTAAAAAATTATCTGCAAGAGAGTAAGAGATTTTAGGCAAACAATAAAGAATATATGTCCCTCAAGGTTAAATCTGAAGGAAATAATGCCTGTCATATAAAATACAGTGTGCCTCTTAAAGAGGCATTTCCTCTTATTTCTTTTGTTAAGACACAAGGCATGCTTGAATTTTAAATTGGTACTTGCAGAGGCCAAGGAAATCATCTGCACTGAGCAGACACAGAAAAAGGGCCGATGGTCTCACAGACACGCACCTGTAAACACTGCAAAAAATATAAAATTAACCTTGCAGGGATCCCTAGTGAGGTGACTGTTACATGCCACTGAACAAGATATCACTGACAGCTGTTTATTTCTAAAGGTAATACGAAGTTAAAAGCAGGGAGCTAATAAGCCATATTAAAAAAAATAATAATTATTATCTAACACCCTATCAGGCTAGAAAAGTTTCAATGTCTATTTTGTATCCCTAATACAATGGGAAATTGAAAATAAGCTCAATATAAGAATTACTAAACAAAAAGTCAGATGTGTATAATATATAAAATACCAACTGACTACATGTTATGAAACACGTATCACGAGTTGCCACAATACATTTCCATGTTAAACTCTAAAGCAAACTCCCAAGTCACATGTTGAGCAAAAGGCATCCTTTCTGGTGTAACACCACCGTAATTCAACTCCAGAATGTCTCCTTTAAGTCAGGGTATAAAGTAATCTAAGAACAAGACAGAAAAATACAATTTAAGATCAGCCATCTTCTTACAGTTAAAAACCTGAAAAAACTGCAAACATTTTAAAAATCACAATGAAACAATGACTTCATCCTGAGTTTGAGAATCACCTGTTTACACAATTTCAAAGACTTCTTCCATGATTCTTGCCAGCATATATTGTATTGACTTTCTGGAAAATTTGAATATCTATCTATCTATATCTTTATATCTATCTATATATATCTTTACACACACACACACACAATCACACTAATGTTTAGTTTGGCTCCAAGCCATTTCACTCCACAAACAGTAGTTAAACCTTAAAAATTAAAACTGAGATAGAAACCTATGCAAACCCATCTTGTAAACATCTTTCCAAAACTTTTGAATACCAACAACAATAATGAGTAGTTAAAAGAAAAACCCTTTAAGTGGCTATTTGAACATCTTACCAAAGACTTTATTTACACATGGTGTCCATGAACTGCACTATCTCCTTCTCCACTTTGCATCTGCATCTGCATCTGTGCCTGCATTCTCGCAATCATCTCCTGCATGCGACGAAGCTGGAAAAGTAGCACAGAAGAATCCTTTAGCCTAGTCTCACCTCACAATATGACTCTCTGCTGCCACCACACTATTAATTATTTATATTAAAGAGGGAACACATCTGCATTATCTTTTATCCGATGGGTAACAAGCTCAGGCTATGGCATCTCCTTCTACTGCTCTTCTTCATCCATTAAGAGGTTGGAAATTTACTGACTGAAATAAGCAGGCTTTATTACTGTAATATGGGATGAGATTTTAAGCATCCCTAAATGGAAGCCTTTGCTTCCTCTGAAGTTAAATGCATAAAAATGGTGGTGCTGAAGTGCTGAACAAACACTTACAGTTACTAAAGCTTATCACCAGAAGAAAAGCAGCTTGTTTATGTCCCTCCAAAGTACACCTCTACCCGTCACTAAAAAAAATTGTCAGGATTACTTCCCAACTCCCTTGCTAGTGATGTCTAGGTGGAAGCAAGTGTTACAGGCAAATCATCCAAGGAGACATAAGCATTATTAAAAATGGTTGAAGCTCAATTTTAGAGCACTGCAACATTTAAACACAGGGTAATCATGTAACTCAGCTGCTAACATTAATTCAGCCATGTTGCATGTACAATACTTAAATCCTTTTATTGTACCCAACTCTGACAGGTGGCAAGTCAACCTCACTACTGAAATACATTTGGGTGTCTTTGCCTTTGTACACTTTAAACTCAAACTAAACTCTTAAGCTTAACAATGAAAAGTTAAACCTGTGAAATGTTTACATTATTCTTTTTTCATATTCCTTGAAACAATGACCCTTTTCATTTTTACTCTAGTTATCTTTTGGGACTTGGGTAGCCACTAAGACCACTAGTAAAAGACTGAGCGTCTGCTTGTGCTACAGCAGTCCAAAAAGTCCATCTAACTCAGCCTTCTCTCCCACACTGGCTATTAGTAAATGCATGGAATAGCCTGACAGCCAGGTGCACACACCTGGTATTTCCTGACATATGCTCTCAAACTAGAAATCTGTCAATGCTGAACTTGCTAAACCAAAAAATTCTACCTTTGTGTTTAGTGAGCACATTAATGGAGAAAGTAAAACTCTCCAGTCTCTTAGCATTTTTGAGCTTATCTGCATTCTTGCTATGCACAAAATTCCATGCTAATGAGTTCCACAATTTACAGACTATCTTTTTTAGTTGAAATCAGCCACCTATCAAGCTCATTAAATGTGACCTGTTTCTTGTATAGTAGATTCCCATTCATCCTGCCATCTATGATTATGTAAGCACCTTACCATATCCTTCCCCTCTGTCAACTACGTCCCAACAAGAACATTGACCTAATCTCCCCTTGTACAGGACTTGCTTCAGATCTCCACTTCAGCCTTTCTGCCCACTTTTTGCTATTCACTGTACTTTTTCTAGTCTTGCCTTTTTGGATTAGGGGTATAATGAAAACAGTGTTTTAGCTGTGCATTATGGATTTATAATAGTGGTGGAATAAGAATTCCTGTTTTGTTCTTTACTCCTGACAATTCCTACCATTGTTCCCTCCTTTGCTGCAGAGCTGAACTGCCTTTTTCCCAGTCTGCAATTGCTAACTTTAGAACCTTTACTCATGTGAGGATGGCTCTCCCTCCCCACACAACATGCATTACATCCATCGCTGATTAGTACAATGGAATCAGGCATTTCACCAGATTCCACCTGTTCCAGTAAATCAGTATCCTGAGACTCCTCTACACCTCTTCACATTCTGTTTTCTTACTGCACCTTGAATAACTTTATATTAGCAAATTCTGTCTTTTCCTTTACAAATTACCTAGATCATATAAATCATTTGACCTAAAGTAGTGACACAAGAATAAAAATTTCCCCATCACAACAGCAGAGAGTTCTGTCATCTTACTTCAGCTTCTTTTTCAAGCAGAATCTGGTCTTTATTTACTTCTTCGTCTTCTATTTTCCTAAAATAAAAAGAATATTGTTCAATAACATGCACACATTCCAGATTTTGAACTTTCAGAGAATGCTTTGTTGACAAAAATCAAGGCTCTTAGAACACATCTTATATGTCAGTTTCATAATACAAACAAGTTTCATTGAAACATGTTCTCCACATAGCTGCAATTCATGTTTTTATTTTAAAATTATTTCTAAGACATCAATTTATCCCTTACTCCTTCATAAAGTTATGCCCAGAACAAGTATAAACCATTCTAGCTATCACTTTAAAACATGACAGATCTTTGCATGTAGGTATCAATAAAAACTATTTCTGAACAGTATTCAAGTATAGCAGTTTACCTGAGCATAACATTATCTTAACTGATTGCAATTTGAGTACTACACAGATATAGCAAATTCAGAAATACTGCAAACGATACTCAATTCTTCTCTTTCATTGGTGCAATGAATCAATACAACTAAATCAAAATTTAAGTTCAAGGTAATGCTGGACAAGTTGTTAACAAAACTGTGGAAGCAACATGTAAAATAACCAATGCTCTAAGAAATTCTGTATCTGGAAACCTGGCTACCTCCAGGCAGAACCTTCCTTTGATGCAGTTCTATCCCATCTCTAACTTCATGAACCATGTTTGCTACCAAACATCTAAAAGGCTCAGAAACCAAAACCATAGAAGTAACACAACCACTGTACATATCTGGAATCCTTCCAATTGGAGGAACCCTTTATCCTCTGCTCCACTTAAGACTTCAAAGTTTGATTACTTTTCTAGTATAGTCACCTTTTTTTTTTTCGCAAGTCCAAAAGATTTCTTTTGTATAACACCTTAAAGTATAGTAACAAACAGCGATTACTCCTGTCAAAAGTAAGCAAATGCTTTCAATCAGTATCTCAGCAAACTCTTGCTTAATTGGGAAGTTCCAGTTTTACATTGAGAAACCAAACATAAGAATATTGTTATGTACTATATTTTCAAGATTACCTACCAGTTTGCTAATAGATTTCTCCTATCCCATGTTGCAATGGGGAAGACCTGCTAACATCTAATCACACAAGTGCCATCAAAAATGCAAAGCGAACAAACTGATACTTGTTAAAAGGTTAACAGAGAAATAGATTGTCAAAAAATCCTCTGTGCCCAAAAGCCTCTAAGAACATTAGTGAATACAGTCAACAAGCACTAATCGGCAAGCACTGCTGGTGGGGTAGGTACAATTTTGAAATAAATTCACACGTGGACTACCCTCACTTACAGTAAACTTAACTACATTCTAGCAGCACTTCAGAAATATGAAAACAAAGATCTATAGGCCACTTAACTAAACAAGATGCAAAAACATGTTTTAGTTTCACAAAGAAAGATACCCTGACTTAACAGCAACTTACTGTCACAGGTCCTTGACAGGGGCAACTTTAAACCCTCTAAAAATTGTTAAACTTTATTTTAACTCTGGATGACCTTAGGTTACATTACTTTTAAGACCTTTGTACATACCTGTTGGATAACAGGCACCAGAACTTGGCAAAAATATTTTTTTTTAGCTTGAACTTCAGAAGACAGGATTTAAAAGTCATGGGAGAAGAGCATGTCATCTTGCCTGAGGGGAAAACTGGACTTGTAGGCCAATGCTACAGGCATAGACAAACTCCTCTTCCTGAAAACTGACTAGGCATGTGACAAAACCGATGTCAACAGCATGATGGAAAAAGCTTTGCAAAATATATCAAACCCACCGAAATGTGCAATTATGAAACCCTCTAGTGGCTGAAATAAGAGAAGCAACTGAAAAAATTTAAACCAGTTTTCAACAAGAACTCACAAACTCAACTTTACAAACCCTGCTATTTTAGTTAAAAATGGGGTGTTCTGCCTGTGTCTCTTACCAGGAAAGCTGTGCCCTACCCACCACAGCTCAAAATAGGGTTGAAAGACATTACCCTGTGACTGCTATGCAAAGAAAATTATGTATACCATGTTTAATAAAGTACTGCAGAAGGACTTGAGTTTTTCTTTTTAAAGACACAGTCCAGATATTCCAGTTGTTAATTCTGAAAAAAAAAAACTTTTTTTAACACATCAGCACCGACCTAACTTGCAGATTTTTTAAGACAACATTCATCATAGACATCTGCCCTACTTAGTTACCTCAAACATTCCAATCCATCTGGTTCAAGCCTTAAAACAAAGCAGGGATCTAACTATACCCTTTTAATGCCACAGCTGTCTCTTCAGATTTATGTAATACTTTTTCTTAAACTCAGTGTAAGCTGGTTGACTGAACTTGGTGCTGACTGGAGCTACAGAGCTGTCCATGATCTACCAAATCCTAGCAATGAAATGGTAGGAGAGACAGAGACACCAAAAAATAAATTCAGAAGAGGAAGAAACAGCATGTAACCATAAGATGACAACCTGCCGCCTCGTTTTAGCCTCTCAGAGCGGAAGTTCTCATAGTGAAGATCCTGGGTCACCTCCTGAAGATCTTGCATATGGGTGCTGGAGGAAGAAAAATAATTAAAAGATAAAACATACCTGTGTCACATCAGCTTGCTTAACCAACTCTCACATTCAGCACTCTATTAAGTCAGTGTTCAGCATGTACACCCATTTAACATGCCAATTTAAGTTAAATCAGTGCAATAAAAGACACACAGAGAGACCACCTCAGACCCTGAGGAAGCCCTGACATAAGCTCTCCTCCTGGGTGAGGCATTTGATGAAGCAGTGCTGGGCAGGGGAAGCAGAGTAGCAAAGCCTGGACAAAATGAAACAGTGGACTTTTGAAGCCTAGTCGTTTGCTACATATAGATATATTTAAATAAGCACAAGGTGTGAAGCAACCTGTTTTATGTTCCTGGGGATCTGAATAGCAATACAACACTGTTAGACAAAAGAATTAGGAAAAAGATTATTTTCACAGAATCACTGAGTAATTCAGATTGGAAAGAACCTTTGGAGCCTATGTGGTCCAATCCCTGTCTAGCCAGCTAGGTCAAGGCTGCTCATGGCCTTCTCCAGACAAATTCTGAATGTCTCCAAGGATTCCACAACCGCTCCAAACCCCCAATACAGTGTTTAAGTATCTTCCTGGTGACTGTTTTTTAAACTACCATTTAATTGGAATTTTCTAACTTACATTAACATGGTCCTCAGCTTCAGGAAGTCATTATGTTCCGGATTCTCCACTTCAACTACACCCCATGGGTAGAGTCGACCTCTAACTTTTTTACCTTTGGCTTCAATGAGTTGATTGGATCCCACTACACAAAATGGGATGCTGGCCTGAAAGCCACAAATGCAAAAATTACTAATAATGAACCAGAACAAACAACTCCAAGAACAACTCTTGTTCTGCTCAGCACTGCATATTATGGTATTAAGTTCATAATGCTTTTAATTTGAAGGTATAAAAAAAACCCCAAAAATAAAAAAAAACCTCAAAAAACAAAGTAATTGTTACCACCATCTTCCAGATAGAGAAGCCTGGGCACAGAGACACAGTGACTCACTCAAGATCTCATTGCAGGTCACAGTATGTATCTTGTTCTAAAGCCATCTGAGCAGTCCGAAAGATACAGTATATTATCCACTTATGTAACCTATGAAGCCAGTCATACCTTCAGGAGTCTGGTCTGCTCTTTAAAATCTTCATCCTCATCTGATTCAGCATCAGGCAGGTGATAAATCTTGATGCCATGCTCTTCTATTTCATCCAGAATCTGAGATTTATAATATAAGAAATTGAGATAATACACATGTAAAATCAGTACTTTTAAATCTTAAGGTAAAATTAATCAGTTATTCACAGTCTCTTGAGAAATCTGGGCCTACCTTACTGATCCAAATTATTCAGCAAGTATTTGTTTTTAAACATCGTATTTCTTCATGATATTCAACAACTACTTGCCACAGACTTTCAGACAAATAATAGTGTTCAAATAAACACTGTCCTCTGTGAATAATACATAAGAAACTGAGCTTTTTTTAAACCTTTGCAATTTTTTTTTTTAAATTATAAACCATTGACTCAGAAGTCATAATTGCTTTGAACAGCCTAAAACTCCTTGCTGTTCTGTCTGAATTACTATTTGGGGGGCAGGGGTAGGAGTGTTTAAAAACCTAACTGAGCTACAGACACAACAAATACTTTTTTCTGTCTTCATGACTGCTAAGAATGGCATCTGCAGCTGGAATCCATTTGTCATAAACCCAAATTTTGCTTTTTAAAATAAAAATTAAAAAATCTTTCTCTCTGCAGAATTCTAGTACAATACTTATATCAAAGTAAAGTATATTTCTCTATTTTTATTGCAAGTTGGGTAAGATAACTATAAGGATTTTCAGAATAACTGAAAAAAATCATAGATAAAGTTTTAAATATAACAGCTAAGACTGGATCAAGTGTGCCTTCTGGCAAGTTAATTCTAACACTTCTTTCTAAATTTCATAGTTGTTATTAACTCATGATGGTTTGTTGCATTTTTCCACCCTTGGCAAATACAGCATCAAGTCCTGCAAGACAATGTATTAAGGGGTCTTACCTATGGAAGAATGAACTGGAATGTGTGTTAGAAAAGGGTGACATAGGGGAAGAAAAACAACCCCAAAAATCTCTGAAAATCCTATTTTTCAATCATCAGAATTCTGACGGGGTAAAAAAATATAGGCACATTATAGATACAGATACTGTCTCTGCTTTGGGACTGATTAAACAGGTAAGGGAGCAATTACCATTAGCAAATGCATTTAAATATTTTTTCCAAAGTTTCAAAATTCACTCATAATGTAATTGTAAACATAGCCAACCTGCCATTTTGCAGGCAACATTTTAAGGACAATTTCTCAGTTAAATACATAATAAAAGAATTTACAAGATATCAAACTACATATTAAATAACGTTACACTGTGCATGAGATTAGATTTTTCTTGGCTAGGACAGAGTAAGATTGAATGAGAACACCCCTCTCTTCAGCGACCATGTTGCTGTAACCAAAGTGCAACATTCTTCTGCAAGCTAGAAAAATACTTACCCTTTTCTTTAGTCTTTCTCGCTCTTTCAGAGAAAGCGTATCAGCTTTTGCAATCACTGGTACAATATTTACTTTGTTGTGTATGGCCTTCATAAACTCAACATCCAGAGGCTTAAGGCTAAAATTAAAATATGGAAAAAGTTAAATTTATTTTTAATCTAAATTACCAATTTATTTTCACACCAATGTAAATCTCTCTCCTTACACAGAAAGAACACGCCCAATTAATTCCAGCAGTTCTAGTACTTCCTTAAGTAATGGCAATCTGATTCTGAAAATTTAAGTCAACAGGCACAAACCAACTCCCCAAAGTAAAATCATTTAAAAAATAAAATGAAAGAGAAAACACCTACCCATGACCAAATGGTGAAATGAAATAGAAGCAGCAATGAACCCGGTTATCTATGATATGCCTTCTGTTCAAACCACTCTCATCATGCAGATATCGCTCAAACTGCTCATCAATGTAAGAGATTATGGTCTTAAAACTGTAAAACAAATATGGATTCAAGAAATCATGCTTGTTCCCAAATGGTCAATAATTTTAGTCATGTTTCAAAGGTAATATTAAAACACCAAGACATCCTGCTGATGAATCAACCTGCTGATAGACAAAAGTTAACTTACTGGTGCTGTAAGACTGTAAGAGAAGAAGAGCACGTATCTTAAAATTTTACTCGAATTCCAAAATAACAAACTACTATGCATACATATTTTTTTTAATATTAAGATAAAATACACATACATATAACACACCTCTTAACTTCTACAGCAAATTTCTCTTGGGTTAGTATTTATCTTTTGACTAATATTAATTACACAAGCTCAAGATAATCGAAGCTTCTTGTTCCAAATCGATTTAAAATCAAAGAATGGTTTGGGTTGGAAGGGACCTTTAAAGACCATCTAGTCCAACCCCCTACCATGGGCAGGGACATCTTTCAGTAGGTCAGGTTGCTCAAAACCCTGTTCAACCTGACCATGAACACTTCCAGTGATGGAGCATCCACAACTTCTCTGGGAAACCTGTTCTGGTGTCTCACCACCATCATTGTAAAAAACTTCTTCCTTACATCCAACCTAAACCTATCCTCTTTCAGTTTAAAACCGTTGCCCCTTGTCCTGTCACTACAGGCCCTGGTAATAAGTCTCTCTCCATCTTTCCTGTAAGCCCTTTTTATATATTGAAGAGCCTTAGTATGGTCTCCCCGAAGCATTCTCTTCTCTAGGCTGAACAACCCCAACTCTCTCAGCCTTTCTTCATAGGAGAGGTGTTCCATCCCCCTGATCATTTTCGTGTCCCTCTTCTGGACCAGAGCTGGACACAGTACTCCAGGTGGGGTCTCACCAGAGCAGAGTAGAAGGGCAGTATCACCTCCCTCGACCTGCTGGTCACGCTTCTTTTGATGCAGCCCAGGGTATGGATGGCTTTCAGGGATGCAACTGCACATTGCCAGCTCATGTCCAATTTTTCATCCACCAGTATCCCCAAATTCTTCTCTGGAGGGCTGCTCTCAACCCATTCATCTCCCAGTCTGTATTGATATTGAGGATTTCCCCAACCCATGCACAGGACCTTGCTCTTGGCCTTGTTGAACTTTGTGAGGTCTGCTATTCTGACAATTCGTGAGGTTTGCATGGGCCCACTCAAGCCTATCGAGGTCCCCCTGGATGGCATCCTTTCCCTCTAGTGAATCAACTGCACCACTCAGCTTGGTGTCATCTGCAGACTTGCTGAGGGTGGACTCAATTCCACTATGTCATTGATTAAGATATTAAATAGTGTTGGTCCCAGTACAGACCCTTGAGGGACACCAGTTGTTACTGGTTTCCACTTAAGACTTTGAGCCATGGACTGTAACTCTTTGGACGCAGCCGTCCAGCCAATTCCTTATCCATCTAACAGTCCGTCCATCAAACCCATATCTCTCCAATTTAGAGGCAAGAATGTTATGGGGGACCATATGAAAGGCCTTACAGAAGCCCAGGTAGATGACATCAGTAGCTCTTCCTTTATCCACTCCATCATAGAAGGCCACCAGATTAGTCAGGCACAGTTTGCCCCTGGTGAAGCCATTTTGGCTGTGTCTAATCACCTCCCTGTCCTCCATATGTTTCAACGTATCTTCCAGGAAGACCTGTTCCATGATCTTAACAGACACAGAGGTGAGGCTGACTGGTCAGTAGTTCCCAGGGTCCTCCTTCTTACCCTTTTTAAAAATGGGCGTGATGTTTCCCTTTTTCCAGTCACTGGGGACTTTGCCTGACTGCCATGACTTTTGAAATATGATGGAGAGTAGCTTGGGAACTACATCTGCCATAGATAACCCGATCAGATGGGATGCATCTTGCTGGGTCCCACGGACTTACATATGTTTAAGTTCCTCAGGTGGTCTCGAAGCTGATCTTCACTTACAATGGGAGGGACTTCATTTCCCCAGTCCCTGCCTTGAGGTTCAGGGGCTTGAGAGATGTGGGAAGAGGGATCACCATTGAAAAATGATTGCCATTAATCTCAAGATTATTCCTCAGTACTTATTACAATGTGAATTTCATAAAAACCCCAAACAATCAAACCCAAAGATGACGAAAATGCACTTAAAAATGAAGCACAGAATCTGAGAATGCTCAAATGAATGTGGACAAGATCTAAAGGTGGATTTTTACTTGCACTAAAGACTAGATTAATTACTTTCTCAGAGTATTGTTGAATTTCTTCAGTTGCAGTGGTTCCATTGCTTTCTGACTATAAAAGAAGTCAAGGTCACTGTTCACTTAGAACTCTTCCAAACATAAGAAAGTTAACTAAGAAAAAAGAAATCAAAACATCTGTGTCACAAAATTTATTTCAAGTTGTGTGAAAGTTATTGATGCCTCTTTACATGTATCTGAATGGACTCATAACACTTAAATTAAGCTTCCTCAAAATTAGAAAACATGCCCATCTCTCCAAAAATCACACCTCAGATTCAGCACTTTGCGTCACCACACACCAAAAAAAGGTAAGATAATGACTTAACAGTATAATCACATTGAATCACCTTTGGAATGGAAGTGTTTAAAAGAGCTAGGGTTGCCACTTGGGCCATCCTACTTTGAACTGCATATCATTATTAATAGAGCCCCACTTCAGTTACTTATTCCCCTCCGCCCCCAGGACAAATATGAAATGGATGTCAGTCTTCATATATAGATAAATATATACTCTGTGTACATACCAGTCTCGACAATTGATAGCATCCCCATATCCTGGTGTATCTACAACCGTCAGGCGTAGTTTCACACCCCTCTCTTCAATTTCAACTGTTGAGGCTTCAATCTGCACAGTGCGTTCAATCTTCTCTAAAACACAATAAACTTGATCTTTCAGAATAGAATTTATAAGACACTGTCATTTTGAGATAAGCGCAAAAGGTTAATTGGCAGATGCAACCATATAAAAGTTATTCCACGGATTACCTTCTACGCCCTGATAACTTAACACCAAGACTCAGTACTTAAGTTCTTCAGATTTTGTTAGAAGATTATTTGAGATTTCATAATGTTCTTAAATATAATGTAGAAACTAAGGCAGAAGGGACTGAGAAAAACCGTAGGTAATCAGCAATTTGGAGAACAATACTGAATTATACATACTGGATTTTTTTCCTAAGGTTGAAAGTGATATGTAATCGTCAGCTAACATGATAAATTATTAAAGCAAGTCATTCAACAAGTAGCAAAGAGGGAAAAAAATAGCATCTTCCTTTATTTTCTTACAATATTCTCTCTCCTTGGATTATTGTATGCCTTGGTTAACAGAATAAAAAGGGGACATGGGACTGAAGAAGAAAAGGAGGTGAAGCTCACATTCACTAAATATCAACCCAAAGCAAAGGAATCAAGTTGCAAGTCCGAGCAGGCATAAACAATGCATATGTTTAGAATTGCAAGAGATTAAAAATTAAAGAAAGTTTCTGATTGTTTTAGTTGATTGTTTATCTTACTGTGACACAATGACATTTTTTTAAGCAAAAGAAGGGATCAACTTCCTAGGTGCCAATGTGAATACACCCGAGGACTAAACAACGAAGGCCCCATGTACATCCTGCGTACAGAGGGAACCAATTCCATCAAACAGTTCAAGTATAAGGAAATACATTAGAAATCACTACAGCTAGAAATCACTACTGGCTGTTACTAAAATCCAAAGATAAAAGCATTCAACTCCAAAAATCATCAAGAACAGAGAAACTAGAACAAAGGTGTGTTTACCAGCAGCTCCTGGGATTATCCTTTCTGGGTAGAGATCTGTCAAGAAGAGGCTGTTTATTAAAGTAGATTTTCCCAATCCAGATTCACCTGTGATTCAATAGAAAGATAAATTCAACATACATACATACATAATTAATTTGAACTGTATCCAGACAGTATCATCTAACTATACATTTTTTCATGTTAAATGTAAATCTTTTCATTTAAACATTTACAGCTTATAATTTTGTATTAGAAAAGTTTGCACAAGAAGGTTGAATAACAATTTTTACATCTCAGCTTTGTAATACACTTTCTGAGAGCTTTCACTGATGATTTGTAATTAAATCTGCTAGTCAAGTGGAGTTCTGATCAATTTAGACTTAAAATTTCCCATTTCATGTCTCCTGATTTTTTAAGGCATGCTTTTCTGCTATCACTCCAGAACGTGAAAGATCATACACAGTGAGAAGCTAGATCCTGCCTACGCTGTATCATCAATTTAAACAACGAAAAAGGCATTGCTGAACTTCTGCACAGCCAGCCAGCATAAAGTATGGCTTTAAACTAAAGGGGGGTAGATTTAGACTAGATATAAGGAAGAAATTTTTTACGCTGAGGGTGGTGAAACACTGGCACAGGTTGCCCAGAGAGGTGGTGGATGCCCCATCCCTGGAAACATTCAAGGTCAGGTTGGATGGGGCTCTGAGCAACCTGATCTAGTGGAAGATGTCCCTGCCCACGGCAGGGAGGTTGGACTAGATGACATTTAGAGGTCCCTTCCAACCCAAACTATTCTATGATTCTGTTATTTCTGCTTTTTATGCTAATATGGCAAACAAGAAGCCAAGGGAAGAGGAATGTAACATGGCTACTGAGCATACACACAGAGCAACTTTTTCACTGATAAAACTGGGGATTACCAAAGTGTACCATAAATATATTTTTGTCCTAGGGCTACTGACTGAGCCATGAGGAAAGTTCAAAAGCCAAGTAATTAGCTAAAGATCAAAATGTTAATCAGAACATGGCATAAAAAAGACCAGGAACTCGAAGTGCTCAGTACTTGAATTCACTAAACAAATCCTTTTCTAGAATTTTGGTTTTATTTCAGGTGTTGATAGAATTAATTAAAAAAATTAGATGTTAAAAATGATGGGCCGCATAATCCCTCTGAATAACACAGACTATTCTGCAACAGGAGTCTAACAAAAATATCTGAACAAAAGAAAAAAGAGATGGATTTATTTTTTAAATAAAGATTTGACTCGGAGATGCCAGTTTTTAATGCCTTACAGAATGCATGTCTCAAGATCAGATTTTACCAGTGCAGCCTTCACCAGTGAAAGAGACATGCAGCCAGAGTAACTCAACAGTCACACAGCATCATTTCAGCAAAACCAAAAAAAGTATGATTTTAACCAGTGGAACATTCCATACTTTCGGTCTGGGTAAATATTACATGTAAAACAAATCAGTTTTCATAGTCGCTGTCAAGGATTAATGAAAAGAGTAGTTATTCTAACTACTGGCCACAGTAGTTAGAGTTTAGTGACTCTCAAGTGAAATAACTATTTAGATGAAGTCATAGCTTAATAATGAGAACGAATGTGAAATTTTTAATAAATACAAGTGGTTGGGATTTCTTTGGAAGCAACACAGCGAAGCAGCCAAATTGTTATAAACCCCAGCTCATATTTTCACAAACTACAATAAAAAATAGCAGAAAAAACAATGTGAAGACGAAAAACCATTGATTAGGACTCTGTCTGTACAGACAGCTTTTAAAGAAGCATTCTCCTGCTCAGAAATTAAGAAGTATGGCAACTCCATGAAGAATAATAGTTCAATACAGGCATTGTGATATAGCCCACAAGGGAACATACTTAAACCCCATGCATAGTTCAAGAGAAAGAATTCACATTCCAAACTATTGAAATAATCAACAATTTAAAGCATGATTTATTTTATCTTACATTGACTGCCTCCCTCTGCTAGTGTATCTTAAAATATCACTCCAAATTTTCAATGAAACTACTTTTCTCCAAGCTCTCTTCCTGTAGTTTTTACTTATCCCTTAGAATACTGGCAGGCAGTGACTGTAAAGTTAAATTTTACTCTGAGACATGAGTGGGGTTAACTGCCTTTCTGTTACTCTGACACCATGTCATTTTCCCCCTATTTTCTATTTTACAAGAAGCTAGAAATGACTGTTTGGTCTATATAATTTTATATAGCTTTCTGCCAGAACTGTTTCACATAGCACTATTTGCATTTAATTTCAAAGAGATCTGGAAATTAAGTTTAGCTACAGCAGAGAAAGCTCATCTTTTGTTTCTCAGAACTGTTCAGATTTTTAGGATCACTGAACAGTAAATTCTGAAGAGTTACAGCAGATACCATAATTTGAACCATCTGCTTACAGTTTGGCTTTACCCTTAGATTTTATAAGATATCCATTATGGTCTTATCCTAAGCAAATCCAATGAAAGATACAGCAAACAACTATGATAAAATTCTAGGAAGACAAAAATAAGGGCCAACTCAGTCCAACACTGAACTACAAAGACAGAAACAGGATAAAAGCAATGCTAGGGCTGTCATTTGGCAAAACTAATAAAAGGTTTGAGGATAGACTCTTTCTGTAACTACTGGAATCCAAAACAATTAAGAACTTAAACACCTCCTGTCATGTACCGCCTCACCTTTCCTGTTCATTTCCACTGTGATCTCTCTTGGACAAATCTAACACACAAATGGGATTTACTTCTTGTGACGCCAGGTAATAAAGAACCTAATTCTATTAGGGTTACTTTTTGCAAAAGCCTATTTTAAAAGTGAGAATTACAGAGTTCAAACACCAAAACTCAGAAGTTACAGCTCCCAATCAGTGTGACCAGGAGAGATATAAAAGATGCCCAAGCCTGATTTGGAAGCCTGCTTTATTTGCAAAAATAACACCAACTTGTCAGAAGATCAAAGTATTTCTGCAAACACACTAGATTTTTCTTTCCATTCCAGACACCAACACAGATTCCCAACGAAATACCAAATAGAATTATACTTCAAATTATAACTGCTAACAGAATATCAAGATAAATTTAAAAAGTAACAGCCCACATGAAAATCAACTAATCCAATTCTCATTCTTCTCTTACAGGAGTATTTAGAAAGGATGGAAAGACCAGAGTTCAGATTCTTTTGAGCTACAGAAGCATAAAGAACATTTTAAATAGAATAGTCTCCTTAATACTATTCTCTTAATCAAAACATGCAAGCAAAGATTGTATTCAAATGCAAAAAGAGTTCTAAACTGTATTCTAAATGGAATGCTTGAATCCTGTAAGACAGAAGAGGCGGAGGGAAGTAACGATCACAGGAGTGCACAACAGAATTTCTTCACTTCACCCACAAACTTAATAATGTATTCAAACATGGTTTGTAGTCTTATCCTGGTTTCAGCTGGGATAGAGTTAATTTTCTTCCTAGTAGCTGGTACAGTGCTGTGGTTTGGATTTACCATGAGAATAATGTTGATAACACACTGATGTTTTAGTTGTTGCTAAGTAGTGCTTACACTAGCCAAGGCCTTTTCAGCTTCTCATGCCCTGCCAGCGAGAAGCTGGGAGGGGGCACAGCCAGGACAGCTGACCCAAACTGGCCAAAGGGGTATTCCATACCATATGACATCATGCTCAGTATATAAACTGGGGGGAGTTAGTTGGGGGGCGGTGACCGCTGCTCGGGAACTGGCTGGGCATTGGTCAGCGGGTGGTGAGCAATTGCATTGTGCATCACTTGATTTGTATATTCTTTTATCATTATTATTATTAAAATTTTTCCCCCCCCCCCCCCCGATTCTCTCCCCCATCCCACTGGCAGGGGGAGTGAGCAAACCACTGTGTGGTGTTTAGCTGCCTGCTGGGTTAAACCACAAGTGTGTAAAACAACCGCTGCATGAATTAATAAACTATAAAAGAAAGTTAAATGCTACAGTACAGAAGAGCTTTCTGATGCTATTGTAAACAGTGAAAGTAATACTCATTTTAATTCCAAATTCCCTGTGAGCAAGTACTAATTTTGAGAAAGACTGTAAACTGTTTTCTTACCAACCACCATAAGAGTAAATTCAAACCCCTTTTTCACAGACTTGCGGTGAACCTGGTTGGGAAGGTTTGCAAATCCAACATAGCCAGGGGTTTCTGGATTGGTAAACTGAGCAGGCTGTTGCTAAAAATAAAATAAAATAAAATAAGACAATAATAAACAACCACTCAAGACATACTTGTTTGTATAACTGCTTTCCTCAGTTATTTCAAACGGTTTGAAGCTACATGACATACAGAGAGAAAACTACACAGGTGTTCCTACTACTCAACAGTTTCACAATGAGGTACAGAACAACTGCGTTCACCTAGAGATTAAAAAAAGTTTCATTTATTCAGCTATGCAGCCAAGATCACATTAAGTAAAAAAGAAACAAAACCCCAAACATTTATTTATCGAAGTATGAAGTGCATTCACTAATCACACACTGTTTAAACAGTGTCTTCACACACATTTAAAATAAAAAAGCTTATGTCCAACGTTTATGGACTTAAAATAAAAAGGTGACCATTTCTAATCTGTTTTTAGCACATCCAGATGAAAACACTGAACAACTAGTGAAGTGATAGTCATCTGCTGGAAGACCTCTTTAGAGATCTCTTTTAAGGGGGAGGTGGGGAGTGGGAATTTACACAATAGTGTTTCAAATACCCACTGCTACAAATACTGCAGAGAAATCTTTAGATCTATTAGTTTCCCTCTTCAAATGCATTACTTGGGTACCCTTTATCATTCATTTCACTCCAATAAGCTAACATGGATGTTCTACCCATTATACCAAATACAGGCAACCAAGAATTAGATGAATCCCAGCATGTCAATAATATTTTAAGTTACCACATTGTTTATAAAGCATTTTTCTGGAAGATCAGTTGACTATTAGTAAATGAAGAAATTAAATCTAAGAACATCCTTTTCTTAAATTATTCCTGCTCAAAACACAGTAGCAGAATGGAAGTTTCAATGAAAATGCACCAGGAAGCTTGTATGCAACTCCATGACCAAAATTAAATCCTTCCAAGAGTATTAGTTAACTGCAGAGGTTTATACTTGTAGGAAACTACTTTAATACATGTTTTACATCACTCAGTCTTTTAATATTATGTCTTCTAAATGTGAATTCTCTCTTATTTATGACCCATAAATTTAGCATACACATCACTATCAAACACAATGCAAGTTACACATTCTGCCCTTGCAGATTAATATTTAGAAACAAAATATCTGTTTCACATTGTTACATTGGAAAACAGAAATGTTATTCTTACCTTAGACATTTTTGTGGAAGGTCAGGAACAAATCTGGAAAAATAATAATGTTTTTCAGCTTATTAAAAATCATATAAGAAAAAAAACAAAACACAAACCAATATAATATCCACTGTTGCACACTAAATTAAAAAAGGAGCATTCTTGATTGGATGTCTGGATTCTGAAAGTGTCAGTTGCTTCACAGAGTACAAGTATTTGTCTCTTCGGTATTAACGAGGGGCAGAATTTTCAGCAACCATTGTTCCTATTAACATCATTGGACAATAAATTCAAGCAACATGAATGTGGGGTGCTAAAGGCGCTAGATGTATGACAAACCATATTGAAGCCTGAAAAAAAAAAAAGTTCACATCCTTTCCGGAAACTAACCAAACCAAACACACTGGTTAAAGACATCTTACTATTTAGAGGAAACAGTTTTTCAAAGCTCAAAAAAACAACTCATGTATTATTTTTTCTTTTTAAGCTTCCTTCCCCTCAACATTTCCTTTCATGCTCGAGTGTTCTGTAAAGAGCTGACAGCTTCAAAATGAAACATTTTCTCCTCCCCTTTCATCCGGATGCTTGCAAACTCAGTCATTTTAACTTCTGTTGCCAAGATAAGATTTTCACATGCAGCTGCATCACTTTGAGATACAAAGCAGACAGGGGAAAAAAAAAATCACCTAACACCTCCATGCAAAAAAGCCTCTTGACAAAGACCTGCCAACAGAAGAGAACTTCCATCACACTAACTTGCATGAGTTCAAGAAATCATATAATTTACTATGCCAATATAAAAACGTCAGCATATGCTTATCTTCAAGTGATGAGTGCTCCAAGTCTCCTTTCCAGTCCCTCTCCTGGCTTGCCCTCTAACCAAAAAGGTATCTGTTCCCACTCACAAAGCCCACATACCATAGCCACCTCTTATCTGTCTAGCTCACTCCCACTTTCATTCTACAGATTTGAAATTATCACCGTTTGATTCTTTCCGTCTTCTAAGCAGGTTTTTGTCAGTGAGTTCAGCTTCATGTGAAATGACACTAAATTGCTTCAACGTACAGCACCCTTCAGCCTGTCCCTCCCACCAAAAAGCCATCTTGAAGTCAAAGCAAGTGTCAGACAGACAGGAGCCCAACCTTTTTTGTGCTAGGCAGAAGGCAAAGTTGTTTTCGAATTGGTGGTGATTTCCGGCAGCTATGACATTTGCTTCTCAAAGCTACTGTATATGTATATGTATATATACACAAGTGCAACCTCCTTTAGGTTTATTAAGATGCAACTTTTTAGCTCACCATGATTACTTCACTGCTAACAGTTACCAAGCTGCTCTCCCCCCCAGTAAGGAAGAGGTCAGTTTTGAGGAAAGCTTTTTGATGGGAGGACAGACTAAAGGTGCTCATCATTGAAGCAATTTGGTGTCATTTCACATGAAGCTGAACTTGCTGACAAAAATCTGGCATCCTGATTACACGCACGGAATAAAAACCAGATAACACGCTTCTCAAGTGAAATTTCATGCTAAAAATAAAATACAGTATCTGCAATGTCTGTATTTCAGGCAATAAGCTGGTCTATGACCTATGAAGGATTCAACTACTGAAGAGGTTATCCGGGAGACTTTTATCATCATGCAAGATTGCTCCAATAGCAACTCTTCCAAGAGTGTTTCCTGCCGAGTGATGTCACTGATCCCTGCTTAACCATTCTCCGTGAGAGATTTTCAATGCCAAACAAAACTAGATCCTGCTAGAACACAGAAGAACATTCTTTTAATTCACGAGGCTTGTCTGTCACCCAACTATTTCTCAGAGTCAGGCTAAGAGCGGAGGGAAGTTTCTCACAGCTACCACGAAATGAAGGAGAGCTATTTACGCAGATGGCTGCAGTTACATTACATTTTAATATATGGACCAAGCACAGAAATCTTTCACGAAAGATGTTTCCCATAGCATCCCCTTCAGGGCAGCGGCTGAGCGCTCCCACGCAGTCAGGAGCATGCAGTCTCGGAGCAGTCCAGATTTTCCTCTGGAGCTGGTCGATCGTGTTCCTTACCCTCCGGTTTCAACAACCCGGCCGGAGTTTTCTACGAGAGCGTCTTCTGAAGCGTGGCGCGCAAACGGCGCTGGAGTGGCTACCTCACCCCCTCTGGAAAGAGGGAACCACATCTCCGAGGCCCTCCCGTCGGCGGGTACTTCAGGCGTTCAGGCGACCACAAGGCCCCGCGCTCGGCGGGGGCAGGCAGGGCGCTACCCAACCTCTCCGACACCCCCAAGTTGCTGGCGGCCCCGCCCC